CATCTGTACATAACTTTGTTCTAGTACTTCCAGGAAGTTACTCAGAAATATTTATCAGAAGTCTAGTTGTTATCCATTGACCTAGTAATTCTACTTCAGGGTGTTTATGTTCAGGAATGTAAATGGGGAGAATTTATACAAAGAAATACGTAGTATCACTATTCATAATGAAAATAAACAGCAAACAGGGCAAATGTTCAAAACAAGGTAATGACTAAACACACTAAATTACATCAACACTATGGAAAACTGTCAGGATCAGCAATCATGCATACTCAGACCAAGAAATAGTGTAAATGAACTGTTAAGAAGTAGAACACAGAATTGTAAGAGTACACTAAAACTAATTCAAAATATATGTGCACTAGCAGAGGTATGAAGAAAATATAAACTGAAACTAGCATTTTATTACTCTATGAAACAAATATTACATTTTAAGTATTTTTTAAAGGAGGCAGTTTTAAGAAGTCATCTTTCATCTCAAAAAATAAGAATGGTGGTATTTTCAAATGGTGAACATAGCATTAATTTGCTGTAATAGACTGATTACTAAAAAGTTAAAAAGAGACTAACATTGCTTGACATACTAGGATACTGTAGATCAAAACAGTCTACTATTGACAATTTGATATGGTTTAACCTAATACTATTCAAAGAATGCAACTGTGTTTAGTGTGTATAGTCTTCACATTTTTTTCTTTCCTCAAACACCCTTATTTGGTAACTTACTTGGTATCTTAAATGGGAGGGGGAAACATGTATGTTTTCAAAATTTTGCAAAAATAAACCATAAACTAGGAGTAACTATAAATACACTGAAAATAAAAATAACTTAGCTATGCAATAATGTAGGAGTATTTAGTAAACATTTTTTTCAATAGAAAGATTTCACTTCTTATCAGTACCACAAATATAGCCAAATTCAATTTTTTTTTTTTTTTTTGAGACTGAGTCTTGCTCTGACACCAGGCTGGAGTGCAGTGCAGAGATGCAATCTTGGCTCACTGCAACCGCCGCCTCCCGGTTCAAGTGATTCTTCCAGCTCAGCCTCCCGAGTAGCTGGGACTTCAAGTGCGCATCACCATACTCGGCTAATTTTCGTATTTGTTAGTAGAGACGGGGTTTCACCATGTTGCTCAGGATGGTCTCAATCTCTCGACCTCATGATCCACCTGCCTTGGCCTCCCAAAGTGCTGGGATTACAGGCATGAGCCACGGCGCCCGGCCCCAAATTCTTTCTTGATGCATTCTCTGCTCTTTTCTTTGCCATAATCCTCACCCTCCTCCCACTCCCTGTTCTCACTTTTCACAAAAATAGGTTCATATCCTCTGTACCAGCTCTAATGCTTAACACACCCTTATCACTCTACTCTAGAAGAGGCTCTGTCCTGCCTTTTTCCAGCCTTGCCTGACCAAGAGCCTTTGCTTCACATCACAAGAGCCCAGCTCCAGGCCTAACCTGGGGAGCTTTCAAATTCCAAAAGTCAGCGAGAGGTGCTGACCTCTCAAACACAAAGTTACGTGCAAAACACCCCCTCTGTGTTACTGTATAGGTACACAAACATACACAGTAAAGGTAAAAGTAGTACATGAAAAAAATATTCAAAAATTTCAGGAGTGGTTATCTTTGGAGGGAAAAGCAACTATGAAGAACCAGACAAGGAGGGGCTTCCAACATTCTTTGCTAATGCATTATTTCTTAAGCTGGATAAATGATACAAAGACGTTTATTACATTACTTTTGTATTTCTTTACACATCTGAAATACGTAATAATAAATTTTAAAAGAAAGTAATTCAACATAAATATAAGGATTCCCTAATATTAGACAGAAATCAAACAGCTAAAAATTTGATTTACCTTATCACCAAGTGCCTCTCTTTCTTTTTTAAGTTTTTTCTTAGCTGCCAACTTTTCCTAAAGGGTTAAAAAAGAACAATATTGAGAAACAACCAGTTATACCACAAACATATACTGAAACTACAAACTACTAATGCTATGAATATTCGAACTAGGCAGTCTTTGTAATCTACTGAAATAAGCATCTGCACATGGATTTTTCTACCTAAATTACTGTAAGCCAAATGGGCTGGCCAATCAATAAGATATCTTTAACAAAGACGTTGCTCCTTTAAAAAAAAAAATCTAAACTGGCAAGTTTGACCATTTCACTAGTTTAATCTTTACTTTTCATAAAGCCTCAAATTAACTAAAATATGAAATGTGACAGTTTCTGTTGTGTTTTGTTTTGCCTAACTGGTTCCATCCTAAAGACAACCATGGTTATGCTGCTTTCTTCTCTTGAAAAGCACTAAAAATAAATAGGAATGGGAGATGAGTTTTCAGGTTGTTTTCCATAAATCCATCACTAGTTATTCACATATTTTATAATCAAAATATACTTTTAAAATTAGTAAGAGCTTGCAAGGTGGATTAGAATGATCTGTATCTGTATTACCAATCCATATATTCTTCTGGAGATTTCTAAACAGAATGCCTGACAAAATTAAAAATATTCTTTCTTTCCAGCACCTACTGATCCTCAACCCACCAGGTTTCAGATTAGAAATCACAGCTCCAATAAGTATTCTAGGACATCTCTCCCCAAAACGCGCACACCAGAATGAGTTAAATGACCCTTATACGTACTCAAATAGCACCTTGACACTGAACGTGATTGAGAACCAGTGCCAGGCCTCAGTAAGGCCAGTAAGAGGAGGCAGACACATAATAAGAATGTTGTGTGAACTTCTAAGATGTGCAAGAATAACCAAACGCTTTCTTCCAATTGCAATTTGACCAGAAATGGGCACTGCGACCTTGGCAAGTAGTTTAAAACTCTTCACGTTTCACTTTGTTTAGTTACCGGAAACGTATGAGGATAACACTGTAAAGAACAAATACAATTACCAGAAACTTTACAGTACTCATTCCAGTAAAGAGCTGCTGCAGGAATGAGAGAAGCAGTATTTTGGATTTATTATGTATTGCCTGCATTTCAGATTCCGCAAATTAACCAACGTTGCCTAGACCCGCCAAAGAGCTGAGACTTTTGCCTTCTGGGCCAGGAGGGCGTAGTTTTCACTACTGAGCCACCTGGGCTTCCAGCTTTCCTTCTGAATCCAGCACCCTAGGAAAGGGCCTATCAAGAAAATCTTCGGCCTTGACACTCAGGCAAAAGGCTGAACCTAGAGTCTCTAAACCGGGGGGAAGGGTACCAGAACACGCGGGCCGCGACAACACCCTTCCCACGGAACCACAGCAAACACTTTGAGATCAGCAGACAACCACGTGCGCCCCGCGACCGCCCCAAGCGAGAGGAACACTGCGCAAGCGCCCGGCAGCCCCCGCCCCTCGGGTACCTTCCGCTGCTGCTGTTTCCACCGCGTGAACATTAAGTGTCGCCGCTGTTTGTTTTTAATCTCCGAAATGCTGAAGCCTGGCGGAAAGGCAGCCGCTTTCGGCGGCTGTCCCTCGCTTTCCGTCGCCCCATCCCCAGCGAATGCAGCCTCCTGAAGTTCTTCGGCAGCGGCTTTCCGTTTCAGGCTTTTCTTCCCGCTGCTGCTGCTCTTATCCCCGGATTTCGCCATGGTGTCGGCTCCTTTGCGTCCGTACGGAAACGGAAATAGCGTTCGTCTGTGACCCTTTTGTTAACCTTTTACTTCCGGGGTTGCAAAGTTTCTAAACCTGTAGACGGCTTTTGTGAGTTTTAGCCATTTAAGAAAGTAGTAAAACTGAGGCTTCAGGAAAGTTTAGGCAGCTTACCCAGCTGTATGAATTGTGAGATGATGAGTTCGGGCACTCCTTGCGCATCTGTGTGCCCAACCCTCAAAATGATGGCGCAACAACAAAAAAATCTTTCCCGATTTAGTTTACGTTTTACTTGAGGGAAACCTGAAATGAGCACACAAATAAACTGTGGTGAGCTATAAAATAAGACATGGTATGGAAAGAAATAAAACAGAATAAAAGAAGATAAAGAGAGGGTAGAGGGGCACGTTGCAATTTTTCTTTTTCTTTTTGAGGTGGAATCTTGCTTAATCGCCCAGGCTGGAGTGCAGTCGTGCAATCTCTGCTCACTGCAAACTTCTCCTCCTGAGTAGCTGGGACTACAGGCATGGACCACCATGCCAAGCTAATTTTTGTATTTTTGCAGAGATGGAGTTTCACCCTGTTGGCCAGGCTGGTCTTACACTCCTGATTTCAGGTTATCTCCCTGCCATGTTGGCCAGGCTGGTCTCTTACTCCTGATCTCAGGTGATTTGCCTGCCTTGGACTCCCAAAGTATGTTGCAATTTTAGGTAGGATTCTCAGAGTACGTGTCATTAAAAACGCTACATTGAGCCAAGATTTGAAGGAGGTAATGAGATAAACTGTATCGTTATCTTAGTGAAGAGCTGTTAATCTGAGATAAAGTTGGTTATCTAGGAGAAAAGCCATCCTGGCAAAGGAAACAGGCAGCTCCAATGCTCCTAGTCAGTAGCAAGCATGCCATGTTCAAGAAACACTATGGAGGTCAGGAGTCAGATGAGAAGGGAGGAGAGGAAGGAAAGGCAAGAAAGGTTGAGATTGGACAGGTGTTGTAGAGCTTTGAAAGGATTTTGGCTTTCATTTTATATGAGATGTAGATCTCTTGTAGGATTTTGAGGAAAATAATGATATGATCTTAACGTCTTTAAAGCATCAGGCTGGTGCAGTGGATCATGCCTATAATTTTAGCAGTTTGGGGAGGTAAGGCAGGAAGATTACTTGAGTCCAGGAGTTCAAGACCAGCTTGGGCAACACTGCAAGAACCCATGTCTACAAAAAGTAAATATATATATATATATATATTTTTTTTTTTTTTTTTTTTTTGGCATGGTGCACTCCTGTGGTCCCAGCTACTCAGGAGGCTGAGGTGGTAGGATCCCTTGAGCCTGGAAAGCTAGGTTGCAATGAGCCATATTGGTGCCACTGAACTCCAGCCTGGGTGAGAGAGTGAGACCCTCTCTCAAAAAATAAATAAATAAATAAAAATAAAGTAAAAGCATCACTCAGAATCTTTTTTTTGAGAAGAACTGATGTGGGGGCAGGGTGTGTGGAAGAAGGGAAGAAATGACAGTGGCCTGAACCAGGGTAAGTCTAGTGTAGGTGGTTGAGAAGTGATTCTTCTGGAAGGTAAAGTTGCTGATGGAACTGAATGGAGGATGCCAAGACTTTTGACCTGAGTGATTAGAAGGATGGAGTTAACATCAGGTGAAATACGGGAAACTTCTTCAAGTGGAACAAATTTGAGAGGTAAGATCAAGAATTCAGTTTTGGAAATGTTAAGTTTGAGACACTTATTAGTGATCTGATTGGTGTTGTTGACTAGTTGGTTGGGATGTATGATTCTGCAGCAGGAGAGAGAGGAGTGGGCTAGAGATCAAAATTTGAGAGTCATTGCCACATAGATAGTATTTCAAACCGTTTGAGTGTAGATTGAAAACTGAAAAAGATCAAGAACTAAACCCTGGAAGAGTCCTGCATGAAGAGATTGAGAGAAAAGGAGGACCAAGCAAAGGAGAAGGAGAAGAGAAAATCAAGAGAGTAGAATGTCATGGAAGGCAACAGAAGACAGTGCTTTCCTAGTGGTTAAATTTGCTATATTCTTCATTTTAATTTTATGAAAATGCTTTCCAAATTGCAACAAAATAATTCCTTTTGATTTACTCTTAGGAGTCAGTTTTCCAGAAACTGCCTTAATTTCAAATTTTATGGACCAATGTCTACATTTAGTATTTTGATAATCCAATATGTTTTTGTCCATATTTCATTTTGTACCCATTTAAGTTCTATTTAACAATAGCAGGGTATTAAAAATATCAAAACTGTGTCTTCCAGAATACAAGCCCCATCCAAACCTGCTATTAGACTACAAGTTTAAAATGGCTGTTAAAAAACTTAAAATAATTGAACCCAGGAGGCAGAGGTTGCAGTGAGCCTAGATCAAACCATTGCACTCCAGCCTGGCTGATAGAGTGAGATTCTGTCTCCAAAAAAAAAGAAAAAAAAAGTCAACAAGAGTGGAATTAATACAATTTTATGAGGAGGCATTAGAGCTACACACCCTCCCACCCAAAGCTGAATTGGAGTGCTATTCAGAAATTGAAAACCTGGAGAATAATTGTATGCTGAATACAGTCATTTCTATATACTCTGTACTATGAAACAGGCATAATACATGTGCTGGCTTTTTTAGAAACCAAAATTATGTGTTTGGTATAATTTCCAATCATTTCCTTCAGGTGTTTTACTTTTTTTAGGAGATCCTAAACATGGCCATGATGGTAATGGATGCAAGGACAATCCTCCAAATATTTTCCAGGTAGCTTGATCCCTACCAATAAGGTGAGCCATTTAGATAAATGGGAATTTTTATGCCTATTAATATTTCCAGAAAGTGTATAGTTCTACGTGAGTCTTCTTAGGTGATCCAAATTCCTGAGCAGAGACAGAGAGCAGTGCCACAATCAAATTCAGTTTTACTAAAGTATCATCTCTTAAAAGGATTTCTGGTTGTATGAATCCATCATAGGAGCATCTATTTATATCTTTGGAATGTATATAGTACCTCTGGCTGGTGTTTCTGACTATAGGACTATAGAGCAACCATAAGTATAATTTAAATATCAGTCTGGAATGGCTTTTCGGTGTCTAAGTATTTATTTTGTTGATTTATTCATGCAACAAATATTTAAGTCATTCTTGTCCTCTGAATATAGCAATCAAAAGGCACCACTCCCTGCTCCATGGAACTCCAGTGAGGAGAGAACCAGTACACTAGCAAGTACAAAAAAGAGGTTCTTTAACAGCCGTCTTGTTGTATAATCAAGACCAAATTTAGAATTACAACTTCCTAGTGCCTTCTTCAAAGAGCCAGAGTAGGTATACTTGTAAGTTCCTTTTTGGTAGTTCAGCTGTCTGTTTTCCATAGAAATTAACCTATGTCCAGTCCAGAGACACAAATATTTAAAACACAAGATAATAAAGCACAGTCCTTAGCTTAGCCTAGCAGTTCTCAAACTTTTTGTCTCATAACCTCTGCACATTATTAAAAATTATTGAGGACCCCCAAAGAGCTTTTGTTTATGTGAGTTATATTTGTTAATATTCACCATATGGAACTTAAAACTGAGAAAAAATTAAATATGCATTTATTTATTTAAATGTAATCAAATAAACCATTATATAATAACTTACATACTTTGTGAAAATTACTATATTTTCTTTTAATTTTTAATTTTTTCTGCCCTCTGCAAACAAAGAAAATGATATTTTCCAAAACAAAAAATTAATGAGAAAAATAGCATTTAAAATGTATCTCTTCAAGTCTCTTTTGTATTATAATTAATAGACGATAGCTGGATTTATATATGCCTCTCTGCATTTAATCTGTTGTAATATACCATTTGTTTGAAGTATATGAAGAAACTCTAACCTCAAACAAGTATGTGATAGGACAAGGGAGGAGTATTTAAGAGCTTTTTCAGATAATTGTGAATATTCCTCTTTGATACTGCACTAAAATTTAAGAAGTAGTAAGTTTTTTAGATGTTAGTTGCAATGTGGAATATGAAATAATATCAGTGAGCTTTCCCTCTTCTATTACATTAAAATCTATTGGTCTATCTTGCATTTTGAATGGACCTTTTACCTATGCATAATTTTATAACAACATGCATTCATTGGTCATTTGGAAAATGTTGGTTTGTGGAGTTTTGCATATCTTCCCAAAGTTGACACATTCATTATATAATTTCAAGAAATCACATTTAAGAAGATTACTACTAATTTTATCAGGGAAGTCTGGAAGTGCTGGTAAATTGTCAAGCTCACAGCAATGGATACAAATTTCCTTACCTTAATCCCTAGGTTGCTTAGAGATTTTCACTTGAATAGGAGCTTTCTTGGCTCCAGGTCACTGATAGTGGTTCCCTGCAATGCAGGTTAGGACGTAGGAATTTAAGGGACTGAGGAGTTTGGGGTGGGAAGGGCCCATTGTTGATATAAACTTTCCAGGGCTGTTTTTCAGGCTAGGCCATCTTTCAATTACCTTCTTTCACCTGTGCATCCCTGAAAATTGGCTTACTTTTTCATAACTACCCAATTAGTTAACAAGAGCAACCTTACATGAAGCCTTAATATATTCTGGGAAATTGTTTAGGGAGACAATCTGAGGAATGCTTTGTGGGGGTCCCTCCACTCTACTCAGCTGTGCAGGATGGAAGCCACCATCTTACTGTATGATGGATCCTAAGGCAGCATTTTGGGAGAGTCAAAGTTTATATATCCTTTGTTGCTTCTGGCCAAGGTTTTTCTTTTTTCCTCACCCACTATAGAAAACAGTGTCTTCTCACAGCCTCTCCTCTTGTTCTTGAGGCAATCAATAAACTTTTCCATTTTTTTTTCCTGTAAGGCAAACAGATAAAATAAAGAAAAAGCCTCCTAATCCCTTATCCCTCCGTACTCTAACAGTGATGATAAGGTCCTATGTAATGTGGATCTTTGACTCCACAAAAAACTGGAAGAGAGTTAAGCTTCATTTAGGGGGAATAATGAAATTTAATAGCTTGCTTGGAATTCCCATCACAAGAGCTAAGAGGGCTTCCTTGGCAAAGGGAAAGATAGGGAGAGGCAGAGCAGTGTGAGGAACTGAAGATGTGTATAGGATCAGTGTTAACAGTAATGATTTCATCAGAATGCAGAATTGGATGACACTCTTCCTATTTTTTATCTATGTGGCTGTTAATTTATAGACTGATACTAGAGTGAAATAGTAGGGATTATATAAAGGACTTCTCAGTAAGTGATTAGGTTCTAAAAGTTTCTGTTATATTCCAGTACACTCCAGGGAGATTTTGTTGATTTAGTTTCCCTAAAATTATTGCTTTTTTATTCTAAAGCTGAGAGTTCAGAATAGAGACCGGCATATCCTAAAATCTGCCTTAGTCAAGGGCATTAAATAATGCCCATAACTGAGATGTAGAAAGTTCCAGACATCACTAGGTGCTAGAACATCTTACACTTGCTAAAATCTTGCCAAAGGCCTATAGAGCTGTTTTGAGTATGATCCGTGGAGGAACAGCAACAGCATCATCTGGAATTCTAGTAGATATGCAAAATCCTGGGGCTCACCCTCAGACCAACTGAAAGATCTCCAGGTGGTTCATAAACACATTAAAGTTTGGGAAGCATTGTTGAAGAAGATGTGTGTTACATCCCTTATTCCCACTGATTTCTGTTTATCAATCAGAAGCCTTGTTTTGGTCCAAACATTTGTGATTGATTTTAAATTATAGTTATTTTATTGTTGTTAAAAATAGTATTTTATTATTTTAAATATGATAGCATTACCTGAAGGGAAGACAGACTGGTAAAAACTATTGTGAGAAACTAAAATATTTGATTTGTTTTCTCACTTACTCCTTGTACAGATTTGGAATGAGATTTAGCAGATCTCTTATCTAACTGGTAGGCAACATAACAGTTCAGGGATCTATGAATATACCTTGTCAGAACCAATGGCTTTACTTTTCTTTCGGTCAATTACTCATGAAGATTAACTTAGGGAAGAATAGTGTTTCTCAAAGTATAGTCCTTGGGCCAGCAGCATCCACATCACCTGGGAACTTGCTGGAAGTGCAGATGCGTGGGCTCTATGGAATCAGAGGCTCTGGGGATAGGACTTACAAATCTGGATTTTAACAAGCCCTCCAGGTGATCTTGATGCATGTCCAAGTTGTAAATCCACTGGTCTTGATACATTATTATCTTCCGATATCAATAAGCTGACTATTTAGGGCTTTGTTTCTGTGTTGTCTATGGTAAGCTTTCCTAATGGGCAGATTTCATAACCAAATCAGCCTCTTTTCATGTCTTTATGTAGGAAATCTTGGTGTTCACGCTAGTTCACACTACTCTAGCAATGGTGGTAGAGCTTGATATAATCAGCACCTTTAACTAAATAAAGTAGACATTAATGACTGACTACAAAATCATGTTTGCTTTTCCCTGAAATTAGCTAAAAATCTGACACTATAGTATGCTCAGGTGACTCTTGGACATGTTACTCGTATTCATTCCTGCTCATATTAATATCTAACACTGATTAGCTCCATTGCCCAGAAATAGCTGATTTTTAAATCCAGCAATAAGACATTAAATCTTTTCCTCCTAAATGCAGTGTGGTATCCTAGATTGAAACCTGGAACAGAAAACAAAACAAAACAAAACCCAAAAACAGTAGTATAAAATGG